ATATATATAAAGATAATAACATTAATAATGACATAATATTAATAATAAGAGGCACCTTAGTCAGTTATGATGTGAGGTGGATAATTTTTAGAAGTAGTCTGCATCAAGCTTAAGGTTTGCTCAAATTCAGTATAATAACATATGAAATAAAGAAAATACATAAACTAATTAAGTGCATAAGAGGCACTTGACCTGCTTGAAAACCTGTCATCCTAGATGAGACATTATTGAGATATAGAGCACACAACTAATAAGCTAAACCCTGTATACAACAGCTAAAGCTACAAGATTGAGAAGCTGAATTGATTATGTGGACACTACTAAGCTAATGAGCAAGTTACACATTTTTTATTTTTTATTTATTTGTTTTTTAAAGCAGAAGCTGCATGATATTAAAGCTCACACATGCAGCTGTCTGTGAGCTCAGTTTTCTTTCCTCACACTTCTGCTTTTTTTCTGGCAGCAGCTTTTTTTCTTTTTGTTTCCTTGCTCATGTGTGTAAAGCATTCATGCCATTAGCAACTTGTTTTTTGTTTTTGTTTGTTTGTTTGTTTTTGCTGAATTGAAATAAAAACAAATCTGTGATCATACTTCTGGATCACAGTGACACATAATGATTAGGTATATGATTTACTAATGTCTAGTTTTTGAGCTGTGAGCAATGCATCCACACAGAGATTAAAACCATGGTGCATACTTTATATGAAGCTGCTATAGAAAGAATGGAGCCTTGTGGGAAAAGTTCACATAAAGAAGTTTTTTAAATCCTAACTTAGAAGTTTGAAATATGTAAGATGTGTGATATGTGTGAATTCTTTGTAAAAAATAGAAATGACCTAAAAGCCTTAAATAAAAATGTAATGTTGCATCTACAAAAAAGACAGAAGAAGCATACAGTAACTTAAAACTAGCTTTACAGACAAATATAGTTTTAGCATTGCCTGACTATGATAAGCCTTTCTACCTGGAAGTTGATGGAGGAGCAGGTTACATGAGAGCAGTTTTAACACAGGCATTTGGAGAAAAAAACAATGCCCGCTTGCATTTTACTCATGCAAATAAGCCTGCCTACATGTGTGCAAGCCTGTGCAGCCGCAGTAAAAAAGTCAGCTGACATTGTTTTAGGGCACACTCTGATTCAATTCAATTCAATTCAATTCAATTTTATTTATATAGCGCCAAATCACAACAAAAGTTGCCTCAAGGCGCTTCATAGATACAGAGAAAAACCCAACAATCATATGACCCCCTATGAGCAGCACTTTGGCGACAGTGGGAAGGAAAAACTC